TATCTTCACCACAATCAGGCAAACATTTTGCACCATTCTTTTTATATATCTTTAAAGACATATGACACGAGGGACTGGTAAGAAATAATGTTAATCCAATTTTCGTGAACCAATGCATGCATATATCATAAACTTAGTCTCCTGTGCACGATTCTATCATTTTTTACGGATCCATTTTTTTAATTGTCCAAAAAATATTTCACTCAGTCAGTATTTTTGTGAAAATATGGCAGCTATTAAATGGTCGTGTTTTTAGGCCGAAGTTTACCAATTGTTACCTTTGTAAACAATCAACAAAGAAGCATGGATATTCAGGTAAGCACGTGTATAAAATGTACAATAAGATATAGTTTATTTCGATGACGAAGCGATGTTTACGTTTGTTGACTCTCTCTACAAATTTGGTTTTTCGCTTCGCTTCCGGTTATTTATAGTAAACATATAACAATCAATTCAGAGACCAATTCATGATATTAGAAACCTAAAATATTTTTAACATCATTAAAGTCCAATGCGAATCCAAGATATTTAGTAATGAGGCGGGGAAATATCGACGTGTTGATATGCAGATTGTACGTCACACTTAAACATATATGAAATGGTATTAATGTATGGTTATGCAATACGCATATTTTCACAGTTTACACTCTGCTTTCATAAATGTCTGGTAATTTCTCTCTAATCTAATATTACACGTCTTTTGTTGTTTGACTGAACAGAAACAATCAAAGGATTCACAACAAAGGAAATATCTGACGTCTCCACAATTAAACCACTAGCTAATTAATCAGAATAGCCGAACCTCACACAATATGTATATTTGAAGTTGATAAATTACAATGTGTTCGAAACTATCTCGGCTAAACATGTTTGGACTCAATAGTATCTAATGTCCGGTACGGTGCAAGCAATCAACAGACAGAGAAAAGGTAGAATGTCTTTCATTTTCTTTTTATTTAAATGATTTTGAAGAATATACATACACATATAACTACCTTCGATTCTGAGATTCAATTTTTTCCACAACCGCTCTAGATTAATGGAGAAGAAAGTCAAAAGCCACATCAAAATGGTAAATTCAGTGAACCTCGCCACGAATTTGTTTAATCTCTTTCTAAATTGTACGTATTGTACGGAAAAAAGGTATGGACAGAAAGATATGAAGCTCACTATGAGCACCTCAGTATTTGTATTTCTGTTCATGGAACGAAAGAAATGGGTCATTTCAAAATGGGAGGACCCTGTTTTTTCAATGCTGTTTACTACATAAGGACTCGGTTTTGTCTGAATATAGAACCCATTTTTGTTTTGTTTTGAAACTACACATTTATGAAAAGCTACGTTTACACGGATCTGGACATGTCCCGTCGAAAGAAATGAAATATGTAAGTCAAAAAGATGTTGTGCATACGTTATTGAAATACAAACCTGTCGTATTACAATTCATTTTTCGAAATAAGGAGTAGTCACTTTCTAATGTTATACGTATACCTTATTGAACTTATCTTTGAACTAAGTTTAAATGAAAATAAATACTTTATAGCATGTACTTTCATTTATTCCTGATGACTTTTTTCTTTACTACTGTATTGGTGTAAAAATAAGCAGATGTGGCATATCAATGTTACCATATCAGTGGAGATAGTATGCTTAACTATACTATACGGTATGTTTACAATGTATTTACTCATCCATTCATTCATTGACGGACACTGAGAGAAAGACTTAAAAGTACTCAAGTTCTAAACTTTCCTATTAGAATCGAAATAATTCTATAATGCCATGCTCTGTGCTCATTTTAACATGGGTAGACATTATATTTGCCACTAATTTATACCTTGCTGACGCTTGGTCTAAAAATATTATCAAATATAATTCCTACCTATATTAAAATGATCACAGAACATGGCCTGAAAGAATTATTTCTTTTTATAATTAAAAGTTAGTTTGCAACATCATAATGGTCCAATATCTTTGTCTTATTTAGAACAGCCTAAGTTGCAATTCATTGTGAAAAAGTAAAAATAACAATGAGATGACTTTCCATCAGAGACCAAATGACGTTAAAGATAACAAATATAGGCCACTGTTTGGCATCTAACAACGAGAAACGCACATACGGCATAGAAATGTAATTTAGGTCCCAAATGAAAAATGTAAAAAAAAACGTGAAAACTAACGACCTGATTTATGTACAAAATTAAAAACGAAAAACAAATATGATATACAGCAACAAAAGGTTATTACCGATTTACAGGCTCCTGGATACGGTACTGGCACAAACAGAATGGCGGGGTTGAACGTGTTAGTGCCGCCTACTAACCCCCTAAAAAAGCAAAACGAATTAAAGGAACAAAAAAAAGAAACTGTAAGCAGCACAACATAGAAACAAACTTTAAAAAAGTTAACTCATTTGATTACAGAGCCTCTATAGTAAATGTGCGATTGTCATATGTCTCTGTTCATTTATTACATTTTGTGATGGTATTCGGATGCAGGGGAAGAAGAGATAGTATGCCTTCCCCACGTTTGGTGGCTAGAAATTATTATTTTATGATGTTTTTTACGATTTATATATATGATGTTTTGTTTAACATAAACTCGTCCCAAACAGTGCCCCTTGCTACCCTCGGCCGCACAAAATCAATTTTATGAATACGCCCCTTTCACAAATCTCCGGTCCGCCCTTGCATATTGACAATTTTATACTTGATCAACGTGCTTAAATTGTAGAACATTTGTCAATGTACGGTAATCATTACACCGTACAAAATGAAGAGATACACCTTTTATTTGTAAAATTACTAATAACATAATCATCATTGCAATTTCTATATGGCCTGAAACTATTATACTAATTTATACTTAGTATTTTTGTAACAAGTAGGGGTAAATAGATTTTTTATCTATTAATTATTGTGATCATTTGCGCCGCATCGAATTCACCTTTTTAAGGCTATTCTGCATGCATATACATTTGTCTTATTCTGTTGCTTTATAATGAACATTTAGTTCGGAATTTTTAATTTCAAATGATCATACTGCCTTCTCCTTTAGGCAGAGTGGAACATTACGACAACCATCTTATTTCCCCAGAAAACCACATATTAAATGTGCGTCCTTCAATTTTCAAGGTCGTACACTTTCTCAGTTTTAAAATTTTAATTCACGTAATAGATATACACAAATCTAAATGTAGTTTTTGTTATCTACAAAACATAATTAGCTTTAGTTCTTATATAGCAGGAATTCAGATATGTACGGATTCAAACAAATTATAAGTTATCCTCTGAAAGAAATTGTTTTCTAATGATTCCTGAAACTCCTATTGAACGCCCGATTTTTATTTTCGTCATGCGATTATGCATTATTTTCTATGAAATGATCTGCATTGTGACATTCAAGGACAAAACCGGGTCGTACACATTGACTAAACCGGGTGCGTCAATTTTGATATGACTGATTTCTTTCATTTTTATGCACAGACATACAAATGCCCGCTATTATATCTTTCTTTCCGTACACTGTGCTCAAATAAAAGAGAATCTAAACAAATTCGAGTCGAGTTTCACTCAATTCGACTTTTTGATGTGTTTGTTTTTTTACTTAACTCTCCATTAATCTAGAGCAGTTGCAGAAAATATTACATCTCAAAATCGAAAATAGTTATATGTGTATGTATATTCTTCAAAATCATTAAAAAAGCAAATAAATAACAGCAAATCTAACTTTACTCTGTCTGTTAATTGTCCGTCACCAGACATTTTATGCTATTGCCAGAGTAGTTTAGACACAGAGATTTATTTGACAAATAAACCGATATAGAATTTGAATAGAAGGATGAAATGTAACCATATCTTATAGTATCTATAATAAATTTATGCGCACCAATATCTATCCAAAATTGAATGTTTCTTCTAAGTCTAACCTTAAACAAAATATCAGATTAACCTAGTTCATATTCAAAATAAGTATTGGTCAAATTATAATTAATATAATTATTTATAAGTAAAAGATCAAAAGAATTATAATACTCACCTTTAAAAAAAATCACTGTGGCCTGGTTTTGGTTGCTGGTTTACTACTTTTGACGTATAGACAGCTAGACCGGTAGTGTAATTTGCACTGTCCCCTTTGAAAGGGAATTATGTTGAACCGAGGTTGTTAAGGCCAACGACAGAATGATTGCTGACCTTAGATTTGATACCAGTTCCTCTATCTGTGTAGCCTTCATGTTCTTCCTGTGGACAGTTCTATTATCAGTTCGAATAATTAAGCTTCATCTTCGGAATCTATCGGTGTCATATTGCTAGCGGTATCCCAATCTCCCTCAGAGGTGTCAGATATTTTGACAAGTTTGTTGCGGTGCTTCATCATGTCTATGGTAGATGATATCAAATCTCGTGCATAATCTACTTGCCCATTTCCTATGGCCTTCAAAGTCCGAACAACATCATGGAGAGTTTCAGTATAAGAGTTAAAATGAATCTTGTAATCTTTATATTTCCTCATCAAGTGTACGTTCACTAATTTTCTCTTTCACTTTAGCAAACAATCATTTCCTCAATATTTTTACTTTGTTGATTTACAGCAGTTAAAACAGTACGCAATGAGATATATGCTTCCCCTTCATTATCCATGATTATATTCAACGTACTTTAATCGACAACGACAGCTAGGTTTGTATACGTGACCTTTGGCGTAGACTCTGTCGTGCCGACAAAAATAAACCGTCAAGTCACACAAAGCACTTAAGCTAAAACTACATCTATAAGAAGACAATTTAGAAGAAAATAATTGCATTTTAATTCATAAAAAAATCCGGCTGAAGTTATATAAATATGTCAACAAAGAAAAACAGAATGAAATAAAGAAAATGTACACAAGAAACAATAAAAGTCAAGAATATAAAAATTACCATAGCACAACAAATTGGCAGGGTAAAGTCATAAAAAAGTGAAAGATTTTTCACATTTTTTTTATTTTGATGTTAATTTCAGGAGTGGCAGGACGACCGATTGAAATGGAACACTGGTTCTAGATATATATTTGTACCAGAGAATAAAGTTTGGCACCCCAACTTGATTGTGTTTAATTTGTACGTTTCTTAAACAATTCCACTACTAAAATATCTTTAAAATATAAGTATTGTAAAGTCTACAAAAATATTTTCATATACAAACCATCTATCTTTATGGATAATTAAACATGCATTACACCTAATCATATCTTCTGTTACCACATACGTGTAGATGTATATATATCTTTTGAATATTTGTGTTGCTGTTGTTCTGTCTGAATAAAATATATCTAGAAACTCTTCTTTAAACACTGTCAATATCTATATATACACATGTATATTTGTTCCCGTATTTTCTTGTATACAATTCTTATTTAAATAACTTTTTTTGTAATTTCAAACTAGAATTGAAGAATCACAGAAGAGTCTTGGTGCTGAAAGACCGGTCCAAGTATATAATAACGGAACACTAGTTTGGAAACAAATTGCAATCTTGTCCACGTTTTGTTCCATTAATGTCTTTTTCTTTCCATTTGACCGTCACAGATGCGAATTGCAATTAGTTAGCTTGGATCTACCTATATTCGAAATCGAGTTAAAGTTCTTAAAAACGCCTCTACATACTGTAGGAACACAATTTTCAGTGGGGGAATGGCGGATTGGAACCTCAATTAGTTACGACTTTATAACGATAGGCCCAGTGGATGAGTGGAAAAAGATGCTCACTTTCATCATAGAGGTAGCAAGGTATCCTAGTCATTACATAATGATCATCATAGTTCCGACCGCTGTGATTGCTGTATTAACATTTGTTACATTTTTCCTACCGCTAAAATCCGGAGTCAGAATTGGATATATTCTGACAGTGGTACTAGCTCTGGTGGTTTTACTGACGTTATTTGCGGAAACAATGCCTCAATCTTCACGATATCCTTCAATGCTAGGTAAAATTACAGTAATTATAGACATGTTCGTACACTCAATTATGTCGTGTTTATGCCTGAAGAATATTCTAATGTCAATGCCTTATGTCATTGTTTTGTTGTTTTAAAAAGTAGTGGCAAGGGACGCACGACACTTTCTTTAGATACTGGTCTATTATATCGATGTTCATAATAATTGTTTCTTACATGTATTTACTGTCTGTTTTAACGTCGTCTAATACAAACTAGGTATCAATTAAAATCAACTGTAAATGATTGAAATATGCTTACAAGAAATGACAATTCAATCGATTAGAGATTTTAGTCAATTACTTACAAAGATGTCATCCATTCAAGTTTCCAATACTACGCTTCTCTTTACAACGCCAGTGGTCAAACTGCAATTGAGCGTTTAGCATTTCAACCACATGTTTATCTGTACTCGATTTGTTCAATCTAACGTTTTCTGTGTAGTGTTTCATGGACTTTTGATGGTCTATTTACGTTAGTCAATTGTGTTGTATGAATTTTGTCGTCAATATATAATATATCTTTTCTTAATACTTTAATAGAATCATATTGAATTATTACTTCTATATGTCGTGTACAAGTTGCAATTTTGTACAGGTTATAACATATACAAAATTATTGTACATGTTATAATTTGAACAATGCTAAAATACAAGTTATAACATGTACAAAAGTACCTCGTACATGTTATAACATGTACAAAATGTTGCTTAAAGAACAATTGTGACAATAATAAAAAAACAATAATCAAAAGCAAAAGAGGGTGCATTCTTTACATCATGCATAAAATACTACATTTTCATACATTTTAGAAACAAGTTTTTTTCAATTGTTGCTACAAGACAGAGACATGTGAAACCTTGAGTTGAACAAAATTTTCATTCTTCTATATTTACACAAGCAAGACTTACAACTGCCTTTCTGAAACTGACAATGCACAAAACCTTGCCCGCCACTCTATAATATCTTACGCACTTTCTCTCTCACACTCATATCACTCATTGGGACTTTTAAAGTTGCATTTGCCAAACAAAAAGAACCTTGTTTCTACTCAAGTATCACTATATTAGTCCAACTTTAGTTCCAATTTTCAGAGCCGCCATGTTCATTCACATTCATCACCATGCCTTTTCGACAGGGCCCCGGTCAATGAACGGAATAGGAATGATAATGTTATCTTCTTGGGAGAGAACGGTTAATCCAGTTTTTGAGTTTTTTGTCAAGGTATCAGCTTGTATCTGCTGACCAGAAAGGGCACCCTTTCGTGCACGCTTGATGTCAATATTTGAAGTTTCAGAAAAACCCTCACTAGTATTGACAGCAGGAATATCACCGCCAGGAAGCGCCCTCTTGCGAGGAAGTATACCAGTAGATGTCATGCTGAAACTTGCTTCATTAACCATGTTAGCATCACCTAATTCGATTACCATTGTTTCTGTTTCTAACTCAATGGTTTGTTCATTCTTGTCTGCTGAATCATGACCATTCAATTCACCATCAGTTTCAATGTTTGTGACAGTGAAATTGTCCGTCTCTGACATTGTTTTGTCAGCTTCAATTTCAGTGTCGGTATTATGTTCTGTCTCGTTTAAAGGGTCTTTACTATGAGTATTATTCGATACAGAACTAATCACACTGATATGAATGGACTATAACTAAAAAATTATGAAGTTCTATTGAGGTTAATGGCATGTGTTGTATAATAGAAACATATTTTTATTTTCAAATTTTGTTCAAGTTAAAACCATTTTTAAGCAACATTTTGTACATGTTATAACATGTATGAGGTACTTTTGTACATGTTATAACTTGTATTTTTGCATTGTATTTGTTTGTAATTACAAATTATAACATGTACACAACTTTTGAACATGTTATAACCTGTACAAAATCGCAACTTGTACACGACATATATACAAAAAAAAACCAAACGAACTCCAAAGGAAATTCAAAACGGAAAGTCTCTACTCAAATGCAAACGAATGGATATTAACTGTCATATTCCTGACTTGATATGTCCCTGGTTCTCTGGTATCTTTCGCCCCTCTTTTGGTACAGGCATTTTTATTATGTAGAAAATTGTGGGTTAAACCTGTTTTATAACTAGCTTAGTAAACCACTTACTGGCATGGCAGTCGCTTTGAATTCTATTATAATGACAACGATATGTGAACAAAACAAACATACACAATAGGTAAAAATGTCATTGTGCTATAATCTTAATCATTATAAAAACTTATATATTACTTCTTATTTACATAATCAATTTCCATTAGATTTAAGGATTATCGAGAATGTGTTTTTTTTTTTATTTACTTGAAGTTTATATTCAATGAACGTTTTCTTCCAATACATAATGATTTATGATTATGCGTTTTTCATGTTTGAACATAAACCGATTGGAGGTATTTTTGCATTTGATATATATGGAAATATGGAGGCTTAGAAATCAAAGGTAGCAAAAAGATGACATATTCTTAAAATAAACAGCAATGTACATATTTGTTTGTAAATATTCTTCAAACCATTAATAGGGATAATGGAAGATTATCCTTGAATGATAAAAGCAAGTTGAATAGGTTTAAGAGTACCAAAACCTCACTTGTGTGAAAAAAGGGAAGAAAGATAATAGATGGACATTAAAACTTCTAAATCGACATGGCTAAAATAGAATAAAAACAAAAAATAAACAATGGTACATTAAAACAAAATAAAAAAACTAAAGACTAAGCAACACGAACCCTGCTAAAACTTGGCTTAATATCAGGTGCACCGGAAGGATATGGAGATTCTGATCAATATGTGGAGCCCGTAATGTTGCTCATGTAAGTACAAACCCAGTATTACGTCCCATTCAGTACATCACATTCGAAAAAGGGAACGGGATTGTATTTACGACATTTCGGACATCCGCTATCATCAGTATAACGGATAACAATCGACCAACACGTGATGAAGTCCGTACAACGTATGAAGGGGTGATTTCAACTTAACCACTTGGAACTCTTGATTTTATAGCTTCCTTGTACGAAACAACCCTCTACCAATAAGAAATGATATGAAATACAAGTGATGGACAATCAAATAAACTTGGAGATATGAACTACATTTACAGGAGATGCTGGAATGATAATTCATAGAAATGAAAAGTTCACAATAGGGAAGCTGAAATCATCTCTTCTGTCGTAAATTTTGGTTTTCAACCTAAGGGAACGACCACTTAAATTCCTAGGTGGGGGACGGATTATGGTTTTTCCTTCTGATCACCAATTTGAAGAGAACATATTTTGTGGTCAAGCTGATGATTCAGTGTTAAATTTTGACCCAAAAAAAATTTGATTGGTGACTCAGACAAAAATACATATCCCCCCACCTTTTGAAGTTAAATTGATGCTCCCTTAAGTGACACAGTTGCCTTGTAATCAATGTCCAAAGTGTTGCTGGTCAATTTTATTCGAAGATTGCGTAAAGTATATTTGGCTGACTGCTGATGACTGATTATTTGAAAGTTGATATATATTTATATTTTCAATTCGTATATTTCAATTTATATTATTTGTTCGGGGATAGTGACAAATTAAACTATATTATCGAAGGGAGATAAAAAAATAAAACGGCGGATAGCAAAAGTAATATTGCACGGTTATTTTTAGAATATCTATAAACTGATTTACTTTGTGAAAGTTTTGAAAAAATATATATATTTTTGATCGAATAATTGAAGAAACAAAATCATCAACTACATTAAAAATTATCGAAAAAATTCACTAATATGATGTAATTGTCAAAGAGATAATATGATATCTAAAAAACAAAATAATTTAATGATTGAAAAAAAAAACCAGAATATATTGCAATGACGATACAAATCTGGTCCGATATTAATAATATAACAATTATAATCTTTGTATGAGGTCAATTTAGTATATATCGACCCAAAGAAGTATATCGACCTCGGAATTCGTCCTCACGTCAATATACATCTTTCAGGTCAATATATCCTTGTATCGACCTCATACAAAGGCTATAATTGTATAGTATATATTATTTCAATTGCCGTCCTAACAAACAACAAGTGTATTCTAAGATTTAAGAAAACTGAAATACTTAAAAGGTTTATTAGCAAAACCGTGATCTTTTAATTTCATATATTTTTTATTTATTTTTCTTTTGTAGTGATAACAATAACGGTAGCATTAGGAATGGCCTTACTTTTGGTAATTATAACAATATTTCTCATGAGTCTGTACAATAAACCAAAACACTGCAAAGCTCCGAACTGGATGCACTCCTTGGTAAGGAAATCCCGGAAGTTTAAGTTAAAGTGCAGAGCTAGGAGAATAACACATCTGGAACAACATCAGGCTAAAGAAGCTGACCGACCAACGGGAGAAAGAGACAACGTGGAAAATAGTGCGCAATTGAAACCATACAGCAACAAGGAGCTTGCAGCATTCTTTGATTATTGTCTGTTTGTTGCTTATACAGTATTATATATTTTGGGTATTATAATATTGCTTATAATAGGAACATCATTGTATGTTATATTTTCATAATTCGACATTTTTACTCCGAAATGAGGAGTTTTCACTGCACGTTTTCCATTAAATTTTCATGTGCAATTTTGATTTTCGATCAAATTTTGAATATTATTAGAATATGTGGTATAATTGCCAATGAGACAATCCTCCACATGAGACTATATGACACAGAAATTAACAACTATTGGTCACCGTACAATAAATAAAATCCATGCGGCTCAGTGAGTTATAAGAGGCCCCGTGATGAAAAAATGTGAAACAAAACCAACAAGAAAACTTACGGACTGATTTATGTACACAAAAATGAACGAAAACAAATATGACAAACAGCGATAAATGACAATCACCGAATAACAGGCTATGTACTGACTGGGAAGACGCATATACAGAATGTGTTTAATGTTTTCAATACGTATATTCTAATATTATGATTGACGTAAAACAAAATAACACACAGTTTGCATTTTTTTCACTATTATCATGATTGTCAATTGTTATATCTTAATGATTATAAATCTTGAGGCTGTCAAAATTGTATCAATAGCCATCGAAATTGTTTAAAAGAGATATCTATAATAAAGCTTTAGCTCTTCAATTTTTGTTTTAGGTTTGAAATATTCAATTTTTTCCTCCCAAAGTATCACCAATGAGACAAAAATTGACGAAATGTGCATGTGTTAAAGTTAGATCTACTTACCTTTCCAAATCACCTGAGATCACCCTCAGTTTTTTATCACCCCCAGATTTTGGTGGGGTTCGTGTTTCTTAGTTTTTATTTTTTTCTATGTTGTGTTTTGTGTATTATTGTTTGTCTTTTTCTTTTTTAACTATGTCGTTGTCAGTTTGTTTTCGATTTGTGAGTTAGAATATCTCTCTTGTGTACCATGTGTGTAAATTATGTATTTTATATCTTACTATACGATTGAGGTTTTTGATTATTGTTGCAGGCTATTATAAATTACATTTTCTGTTCAACTGCAATGCATAGTGTTAGAAGGCAACAAATCAATTGAAGATAAAACGTTCAACTGCAGCATACTCCAGCTCGGTAAACATTATAACAAGCTATAACATTAAATATATATCCCAAAATCTAGAGAAATTGCAAAAAAAAAAAAAAAATATTCAACATTATCAACATGAATTTTAACAGACAAGCAACTATATTAAGAACAACCCCAGACTTGTCAAAATTTGAAGGTTAAGACGGAAGAACAGATGACAGCTGCCTTTTCGGACACGAGAAGGCGACGGAACAAATAATGTGGATAATTGTATAACATTTATATTTTTATTTTATTGTATTATATATTATTTTTTGCTCGACTTATATATTATTTTTGATGAGATAAAATGCAGTGGCCATGATTTGACTTTTTCCTTTCTTTTTTTTTTTGCTACTGAACCATATTCGGTCGACATTCAAAACGTATAACGCAGATGAAAAAAAACTAAATTCGGAAATATCTGATGTTTTGCAAATTTGTATTTGTTTTTCGAGCTGTAAAGGAAATTATATGAAAAACTATGTGCAACAGTGTATGCATTTTGATTTAAATAGAACAACTGACTTGTTACAAGACTTTTGTAATTCGTATGTAAAAGGTAATATGAAAACCAATTTTCGAGGAGGGAACAGACTTGATGCACATTTTAATGTTGGACGTTTGTCATTTCATTAACCTAATGCACGTTCAAGGTAAAATAAATAGGCAAGATTTTTTATCAGATTTATAACAATCATATCGGTAGAAACGTAAAATATAACTAGGATGATCAGAAAGTTCTCTGTATGTCAAGAGTAAATTTCCCGGTTACAATAAATAAATGCAAGGAAAACAACGCAGATATGTAAATGTTTTGACTCGACATATATTTTTTTTTTTACGAATAAACTCTTTGGCGTCGATTTTTTGTTGTTGCTTTCTTTATGCTATGAAACCGTCTTTGGTCGAAATTATCTTTACGATATTTATAATAAAACTTTTTCTATGTCATTCTTGGGCCATTGCGAAGACATTTTCGGAGTTAAAGTGAAGATCCGGACGAATAAATCATCTTAATCAAAGTCAGATTTCTGACATTGACCAACCAAAAGATGGAAGAGTCTGCTGGAATAGTATTTAGGCGTTTACACCGTACACCAACAAGGAGTGAGCTGATATTTTTTGATTTTTTCCTGTTTGGTGTTTTTCAAATTTTTTATATTTTGATTCTTTTGTGTTTTACCAATAGTTCTGAGATTCTCAACATGATGGAAACATGACATTCAATATAAACTACATGTATATTATATGATATGTGTAGTAAAACACATTCTTGTTTTTAACACGTGCATGTATAATGCAAGATAATAATTCCCACATTTGTATCGCATATCAATGCACCAACTATATTTACTAATGTTGTTTCCTAGAATTTGTATAACATGTTTACACAAACGTATCGTTGTAATTTAAGGCAAGGATTGTCTTTGTTGCACTTTATCTCTTTATTTTTCTGCAATGCATACCATATTTAAATGCAGCATGTTTTGATATTGTACTTAAGCAATCACACATGTGTTCGATGCAATCACTACGTTAGTTTTAAACATTATCATTCATGTCCAACAAAACGCTACAAATTGATTGTTGGTTTTTTTTTCTTTTAAAATTGCTATGTTTTACAAGCATACATATATATCTATATCCACTCGAGACAGTTAGATTTTCAAATTTAAAACGCGAGGCTCGCCGAGCGTTTTAAATATTTAAAATTTAACTGTCGAGAGTGGATAAATATCGTATTACACGAGATTTGGTGGCGGAATCTGTTTCTTTAATGATTTTCTAACAATATGCAGGCAAACTTATTCCTTCTGCAAGAAGATGTGTTCTTTCTATGTGACGTCATCAGGCATGGTCGCCTTTTTTTATGCTGTCACAATAGGAAATGCAGAGGAAAGCAAGAAAATTCGACGTCATAATCGAATTTTAAGCAATGAAGAACTGAGATCAAACGAACCACACGTTGATTAAATGTTTTTATACAATTGGTACAGAAAGGGATAAATTGACGAAGAATTAGAGAAATACATTTATATCACAATAGCGTTGTAACACCTGTAACCTTGCAACACTGCGTATGTTTCTGTCCAAGGTTTGATCCTGTAACTGATTGTTTGTCGATGATTCATGTATGTCAAACTCTTTTTCATACATTGTACTGTTTTAACTTATGACATCTTTGCTCATTTATAGGATTTTGCTTGATTTTCATATGATGCAGACATAAATTTGCACTCAGTTTAAATGAGGTCTGGAGCTAGCATGTTTCTTCTGCTAACTATTCTGATCGGACTCGGACTTCTTTTTAACTGTATACTGTGTGTTTATTCATTGTGCATTGGCTAAAGGTATAGGGGAAGGGTAGAGATATCACAAAACATGTTTAACCCCGCCACATTTTTGCACCTGTCCCAGGTCAAGAGACACTGGACTTTGCTAGTCTTTTATGTTTTTTTTATTTAAGTTTATTTATATGTTTTGGAGTTTAATATGACGTCCTTTTTCATTGAACTAATACACTTTTTTATTGAGGGGCCAAATGAGGCCCACCTCCGGATGCGGGATTTACTCGTTGCATTGCAGACAAGTTGATGGCCTTCGGCTGATTTTTTGTTTTGCTCGGGTTGTAGTCTCTTTGACATTTTTCCCATTTGCCTTGTCAATTTTATTAGGTATTAGTTCTGCTCATTATTGAATACCGTATATAAATCTATAATGCTTACATCCCATCATTTAAACTCTAGTGACTTATGTCTCATTGGGAATCATATCAAATCTGAAATTATATTACCTAAAATACAAATATATGCATTATGATACTAAACACCCAGTCTTTTTAATATTAAAATCGATACATAGGACGGTAGAAAGCATGTATATATTTTCGTTTTATAAATAATACGCTTTGACTGATGAAGTATGATACGGTACCGTTTTATCATTAAAATACAGCCTGTTGGTATTTTATTGTGTGAACCTTTATTGTTTAAATTTTTACCGCCGCCATCAAAACACTCTACGTTTGTTCCCGGTACCCTAGGGATATTTATTTATTTTATTCTGTGCTTTAATTGCTATTAAGTAGATTTACTTTATGTTAATTAGTTTTGCTACATTTAATTATTTTATATTATTTAATTGTCTTTCATCAAGTACGTTGCTAAAATATCTAATATCCAGTTCGATATGCTTTTATTGCTCTTAAACACCATGCTTCCATTTGTTTAATTGTTCGTTTTCAGCATCACTCGCAGTTGAACTTAACTTCCCTTTCAAACAATACTATGGCCGGGTTTATATCCCCGTGTTGACTGCATGCTAACGTATGATTTAACTGCTGTTTTAAGCACCAAGGATTTAATCCCTCTTTGATATTATGCTAGCTTATTACTCATCTTATCGTTCTCACCATTTTGACGCATGGCTAACACCCATTTTGGTACCGTGCTTCAGTATGGTCGACCTTTATGCTTCGATCATGTTTTGCAACGTAGAAGAACAAGTGATCAGTAAGCTGGAGTCTCTTATTGACAACATATTAGTTGAATTAGAAGGTAGACATTTTCAACAAATTGTCGGCATTCCTATGGGAATAAACTGTGCACCTTCCTTTGCCGATGTCTTGTTTTTTTATATGAGTCGGAGTTCCTTCAGACAATTGTCAAAAACTAAAAGATTAAAGAAGCCAGATCATTTAGTTTTATATCAAGATATATTGATGATATTCGTTCCATTGTTTATCAAAATTTTCCGATTTGGTTCCATTAATATGTTATCCAGAACAAAATAATTAAAGAAACAACATCACGGCTTTCTCTGTATCATTTTTTAGATTTATACTTAAGCAGTCATCTCACTACCAGAATCTATGACAAAGGAAACTATTTTGATTCAGAAATTATTAATTTCCCCCACGTTAGTAGCAATATACCAACCTCACCTGCATATAGGATATACATTTTCCAACTCATTGTGGTATTCTAGAGATTGCAGCTATTACTCAGACTTTGTAAAACGTCGCCAGTGTATGAGCAGAAAGGTGGTGAACCGGGTTTATGTCAAGGAACATCTCGTCCATTTAAAAAAATTCATCAAATAATATCAAGTAATAAATATTCCGTATCAACTTCACAATTAATTCACGATGATCTTGAAGTATAGATTCTAGGTACTGACGTTGTTTATTATCTTAATTATTTGTTATAGTGTTCTTTTATTTGTCTTTGTGAATAAGTACTTTTGCTGTTTAGTCTATTTAAGGTAATATCCGACGTGACTCCGTATATCCCGTCATTGTGTATTGTGTTATTGTAAATTTGTGTATTCTTGTATTTCGTTTTTGCTAATTTGCTTTTTCTTGATAGATATAAGAACATGTTTTTCCTTGTTGACATATGTGTTTGACTGCTATACCCCTTTTTCTGACATTTTTACCTATGATTTCTGTTTGTTTTGTTCACACACTGTTGTCGATATAATGTAATGGTATGCACTGTCATACCAGTTAGAGGTTTAGTTAGCGACTTAACCAGGTTAAAAACACAAAACAAAAAAAGAAATACCTGTACCAAGTCAGGAATATGACAGTTGTTATCCATTCGTTTGATGTGTTTGAGCTTTTGATTTTGCCATTTGATTAGGGACTTTCCGTTTTGAATTTTCCTCGGAGTTCAGTATTTTTGTGATTTTACTTTTTTTTAGCTTTTGGATTTTCCACTTTGAATTGTCCTCGTAGTTCGATATTTTTGTTATTTTCCCTTTTTTGGGGACACTACTAATTTTTGAGGCCCTTTATAGCTTGATGTTCCTTGTAAGCCAAGGCTCCGTGTTGAAGACCGTAGTTTGACCTATAATGGTTTACGTTTATAAATTGAGACTTGGATGGAGCGTTGTCTCATTGGCACTAATACCACATCTTCTTGTATCTAAATAACAGTACACAAGACACAACATAGAAAAACTAAAGACTAAGCAACACGAACCCCACCAAAAACTGGGGGTGATCTCATGTGCTCCGGACGGGTAAGCAGATACTGCTCTTCATGTGGCAACAGTCGTGTTGCTCATGTTATTACAAACCCGGTAAATAGTCTAATTCGGTAGGTCACATTTGTGAAAAGGGAACGGGATTGTAGTTAAGACATAAGGAACATATCCGATATCATCTGTGAAACGGATATTCCATAACGGTCAACCAACTCGTCATGGCGTCCGTAAAATTTACGAAGGGATGATTTCAACTCCACCATTTGGAACTCATGGTTTAATAGCTTCCTTGTGAGCAGCAACCCTCTTTCAAGGAAATCATGATAGAAAATACTGGCCGGGGAATATCGTATCAATTGGGAGATATATACTCCGTATGCAATCGCTGCTGGTATGTTGCTACAGCAAGTTCTATTAACATAATACAGTAAGTTGCCAGTTGTGCTTTCGATCTGATGAGTGATGCCCTTTTCAGCTAGATCAAGAATCAAGAATAAAATTATTCACCAAGACTAATATCGTGTTGGTTAGGTACTGTGTTGAGTCATTGCAATAAGTCAAATTGATGGATACTGATATAGAACTGTATCATAGGAATCTAGTAACAGCTATATTTTTAGAGAATATACTCAACTTTCCATTTTGTTCTATTTGCTTCAACCTTTCGCAACAATTAATCCAATTGCAAACACTAGAATTCAAGTCGCAATATATGTTTGTTATTGAAATATTTGTCTTTTTGGCTTTGTGGTGACAGTAACATACCACTGAAATATTTCCCAAGACATAATTTATCAACATTGGAAACTGTGGGGTTCATTTGTACTGGTTATTGAGTTATATCAGAATTAATTCTATGTTTTTAGAAGAAAAA